TAGTCGCTTAATCAGTCATCGTAGCGACAGCAGACTATATCCAGAAAGATCTGCTCTTGCAGAACATCTTAATAAAGAACATCATATAATGAATTATGAATCAGTCAAAATTTTAGCTACTGAATCCAATTACAAAAAAAGACTTTTCTTAGAAATGGCATTCATTGCTCAAAATTCAAACGCAATAAACAAAAGGAGTAACATTAATCAGTAAAGCACTATTTACTCCTACATATGTTTTTTTTGATACAAATTCACAATTCAATGATGTTTCAACAACTAATTCATTGTAAAGTTTCCAGGTTTCGTTGTTTCTTATAGTTTTCATTATACAATTTTGTTTTTCAACTTAACCACAACCTTTGTTAAATTTTGATGTGTAATAGTAGTAGTACTACATAAGACAAAGAAATAAGAAAAAGTACAGCCATTTGCCATGTCCAGGAATGACAGTTACTCTTAACCTAACATTCTACTGTTGGCCGGCACACGTGGCCTTTTTAAACTTTGTAATTGTCTTTTTCTTTTTTTATATATTCTAATTATTGACTCAGTCAATGAGTGATGCGTGAATTTGTCACCTGTGAGTAGAACATCCACGAAAGACAAACCTCAATAACGTAAGTGTTTTCGTTTTTTTTTTCTCTTTTTACAACCTTGTCACTCTAATAGACTTCGAGGATACTTTACTAACAGCAGCACTTTATTTTCAGTTTTTCCTGATAATGAAAATAAACATTTTCGAAAGCTTGAAACTTAGTTAAAAGAGTACACTTATTTCACCGCTGAAAATCCCAATAAACCTGAAAGCTCCGTTATCTAACGTTGTCAACAAAGAGTTCTTTTTCTTTTCTATACTAAAACTGTAAACCAAGCCTACATTTCTATTAATGCTCCTAAAATTTTTATTGGTGTATATCAGGTGTGATTGATTTCTTCGTGATATATCCTGCGGTGTTTTTTACTCCATTACCTTTCAATTATCAAAAGCCCCAGGGCGATACAAATTGCATGATTGATAAGATATTCCGCGTTAAGACTAACGATCTACGATTAGTCATATTTCAAAGATTAAGCGTCCATTTTTCCACGTGTGACAATTGTTCGGAATGTAACGATTATTTATGATTTGTATCACGCAATGTAGACCTAATGTTGTTTAAAATTCTAGTAGAATATTTATATTTTTTTCCAGGAATGGTATGCTAAACGCCGATGAAAATTATTCTTTAGAAATGTGTTTATAATGCTTGAATTAATTCACATCATTATTAAAAAATTTTATTAAAACTTTTTTTTATTTAAAACACTTATACCAATTCAACCACGCAGGGTTATTAGTGGAATGACAAACAATAGTTTTAATACGATTATCTACATTAAATAGTATAATACAATTTTATATCTCTTAAATAATATAATCTATCGACGGTGTCACGACAGAAAGGCATAAGCGCCATTGACAGTTTTTTTCAGAAGACACAAAAAACGTTTAATATCACTTAATATTTATTTTTTTACATTTTTTTGGCGTTTTATTATTATTGAACTGAGCCATTTTGAGTTACCATAGGTTAGTTATAAAACAATTATTATAAACATGAGATATTTAACATTTTGGTGCTTCCGCCTTTAATGTTAGGTTCTGTGGTGTTTAAGCCTCTTTGAAAGGCGGTTACCATATTTGGAAAAAAATATATTTTGATCAATAAATGTCGCTTAGGAACTTATACGCCTTTTAATTTTAAGAATTATAACAAAAATGGAGAATAATCTTTTCATTTTAAAGCATAACAATTAAGTAAAAATAATAAAAAATAAACAATACTCCACAATATATTTATGAGTTTCTTAGAGTTATATTGGCGTAAAAAAATATCATACAAAAATTAAGTTAATATAATTATCACGTTATATTAAGGATAACAAGAAAATAAACTGAAAGATTATTCAAAAAACAACAAAAACTATTAAAACGTACCATTTTTTTATGTGGAACCTTTATCCTTTCTAGGTACATGAACACCAATGTTATAATCTTTTTTGAAGTAGATATTTATTAAAAGGGGATGCCATTATTTTCATTTATTTTTATGGTGTAGATTTTATAAAGATTTGAAATGCTTTTAGTATCTGCTGGTAGATACAATTTTTTAGTCGACCCTCGACAGTAGTGCGAGGGGACAGCAGGAAGACCCTCAATAAAATCTTTAAATAGTAACATTTGTTCTGGAGTAATTTTAGGGTTAGGTTCATGTTTCCCGCTATTCTCACGGTTAACTTCAATTCTTCCTTTTATAGCATACCGTACCAATGTTTAATATTTAGATTATTTTTAAAGAATTGTACGCAAACCCGTTTTTGTATATCATTTTTCAAAAGAAAGTATTCATAAGTTAGATTACGACATGAATCAGAAACTGTTCTTTTTCTATTTACAGGTATGACATTAACGCAACCATTAATGAAATTTTTCTTATCTAAATTATTACCTAGGTTCCAAAATTTTTAAAAAATACTATTTATATCCTCAGTGCTAAAGCTATTACATTGATTGACACATTTTTTCCTAAACATGGATTAGGAAGCAAAGGTTCAGCAACGCGTTCGTTTTTATAATTACAATAACTTTCCCACAAGTTCCGTAACTTTCAATGACGTAACAAAATACTTTCCTTTTTTTCTCTTTTGTCCTCTACCTTCAGGTAGAGTGCTTTGAGATGAACTACTTGATGTTTTACTAGAAATTAAACCAGTTGGTGAGCTAGAACTAATGCTGTCAATTTCAGTCTCATTTTTAAGAAATACTGTCAAGTATAATGAATTTGATTCGGAGTTTAAAGAATCATTATGTTGTATAACATCATTACCACCTTATCTTATCATCAACTAATTAACTAAATACTCTTGCGGCATTATTATTACCATCGTCAGTATCATCACTATCTGAGTAAGGTACAAGTTTTTTATCACAGGTTAATAAATCCATCTCATCTTCGGCAGTCTCATCAATATTTTAAAATAAACAGCTATCAATATTCAAATTTGGACTTGGAGAAAAACTGAAATCCACAATGGCATCATCGTCTAGATCAGAACTAGGCATTTGGAGTTTTTGTTCATGGTTTTTAGTATAGGCTCCAAAAGATCATCATGCTTTAGTAAAGACAAAAACAAATAAAACCTAAATTTAATTAAAAGTAGTTAATTATAAGGTTATGATTAATAAATATGCAAAAAATCTTTTCTCTACCAAATGCGAATCAATAGCAGTAGAAATTCGATCGTACTGAAAAATTACAAATTTTGACTTGGTAAGTTTTGGAATAACACTCTTCATATTATTATTGTAAACTAATGTATATAGCCAATTTTATCAAATGTCACATTAATCTAAATACGCTAATGACCCTGCGTGGTTGATGCGTTATTAAAAAAATATTGGTAGACATAAACTCTGGGTATATTTGTTTAATATTAATTGATTTTTCTATAACTTTTAAAATAAGCTCTGTCGAATCGTTAAATAACGTGACAAAGATCAAATATTATTTAATTTCTCGTTTTGTAGAGATATGATATTGCCTTTAACATAACACTTTTGCTAAATTTTTAAATTAACAAACAAATATTTTCTATCTATTATGCAATAAACCAAGTTGGCTGAAACACATTTCTTTAATTTAATTGCATTATTTTAAAATTATAGCAGAGAAAATGTTTACTTTAAAAGTGCTCTACAGTATATCAAGTCTTTGCGTTGCAAGCTGCACTCATTCGTGGATAATTTTTCCTTTCGTAGAACTGCTTTTGCCGCCATAAATTAGTGCTTATCTTCTTGTGATAATGAATATATTTCATGTGCACTGGTGATCACCGGTGGCGATATCTCTGTTGTTTATTTCATTTTGAAGTTGCCATATGCTTTGGCGAAGAGAATAATCGTCGGTTATACATGGTTTGCAAATATTACAGACCGAGAAAGCATTTTATGCATGAAAAAGTGTTCTTTGAAAATTAAATTCACTACTTTTATATATTACTTTTTAAGGGGTAACTTTGTTTTCAGCACTTTTGTTCTTTAGCATCATTGATTGATGCTACAGTAAATAAATAGTTCTTTGAAATTTGAATGCTATGAGTGTGTCTGTAAAGTATGGAATAAATTCTATATTTCCTAAATGAAAAGCCTTTTTAAAAAAATCAAAAACACGTCCATTTTAAAGTTTCATTTTCTATATTCTACAACAAAATTTTATTATAAAAGATGATACACGTTAAGGTGATGACGTCATCAGCTCTTTTTTTAAATGTAACACTCTATATTTATGATATTTTTAGCTTGATAAAAATGGGCAAATTCCAAAAAAGGTTTCGCTTTCTACAATATGCAAAGCATCTTCAGGTCTCGATATAAAGTTAATTAAGTGCTGAAATAATAAAACCCATATTAGGGTGTTGTCTTATAAAGATAAAGAAAGATAAATGATATCAATTACAGTAATTACGCCAATATTACATGTCTGTGATTTTTCAAAATGAATAAACTGTTTAAGCAGACAGGGTAAGACCCACAAATTGGTATAAAAGTAGTCTATTAAATTGTAATAAATTAGTAAATAAATAAAACATTACTTACATGCCGGTACTTATAAGTTACTTATATTTATTCAAGAGATATATTTATGAAATGTGTGTTATTTGTTGAGATTTTATGAAGGTGACAGTTGTATGACAATGAATGAAATTAGATATACAATTGTGTGCACACCCACAGTTGTTACCCACCTTGAATGTGCCAGGGGTCCGGGTTTTCGATCTGTTACATTGGTAGTACACAGGCCACTGGATACTACGGGGCACATTTCATACAAATACTTTTGGTGGTTTGAAGTTCCTTCAAAATACTTTCGAAAATCGTGGGTGAATTAATTTTAATTGGGTTGATCGCAACGATTGGCAGTTGGTCGCATTGTAATAATTGCTTAATAAAATCTTACCTCTAGGTCCAAAAGTATTTCCATTAACATGGTGAGAAAGATGTTGAATGGGTAGCTCATTTGCATGTAGCAGACATACAAACCACTGAAGCGATTTTTGAAGATGTTCTTCTAACAGTCGTATTACACCACCCTTAATGCCAGTATTTACGACTGTTCCATCACATTCAACAGCTTTAATCTCTTGTAATGCAATTGAATTTTCTATAATTAATTAAATAATGGAAGATTTATTTACCGAACAGCGGAGACATATGTCCCAAATATTTGCATCCTGGCTCCTGCACAACTGTTATGTGTATGATCGTTTGTTCCATGTTTTCTATGTCGAATGTTCTTGTAGTCTGAATATTTGAACGAAATGCTTACTTTCTTTTCTAACTTTATTTTTGTTGATATAATTTGGAGAATCCGCTGATGTAATTATTTCCATATCGATTAAAACGGCGAATGCAAGAGCAGCTGCAGATCTATAAAATACGCCAGCAGCAGATCTATAAGATATGCTGTGTCTGTCACATGTTTTTGCAAAATTTTTCAACTGAAGTATCATCTAATTTTTGTTGATATCTTTAGAGGTTGAAGGGATAAAAACACCATCTTGAAACGTAACTTCATCAACATCAATAATAAAATTATTTAATTCTGAACTTGAAGAAGAATCGCATTTAGGTACTGGATTAATATCAGTATCAATAACTACGGTATATTTCTTCTTTGTCGTTGTTTTCTGTAAATATATTTTCTTGTTCTCTCTCTATCAACCGAGCTTATCACCATTTTTCTCGGACTCTTTAATCTAATAAAAATTTTCGTTCATTGAGAGGCACTTTTTGAGATTTGCTACTAAGGCAATTTAGTAGAGTATTACATTTTTATGCTGCAAGATAGAAAATAGTTTTACTTTTCTTATGAAAGCATAGAATTTTACTTTGGTAACGCTTACTGTTGTGCCGACTTTTAAATGGATTTATAAGATTAGTATATTTGTCGTGGTAGGATTTTAAAAGCGGAATTATTCTTGTACGTGAAACTATTGGAATTGAAGCCTTTTTCCATATTTTCTCCAATTTCATGGCAACCTCTTCGGCGATAACGAAAAACGCTGCCTCTTCATTGCTAAGTTTTTTTGTTTAGCCTCTTACAAGCACAAAATTTCATCACTTGTTCAAACGTCGGTAACACATTTCCCAGAATATTCGATGATTACCCAAAAATGGCGCAGTCCACAGGACATATTGTTTTTATTCCCGATGGTCCTGGCTTATCCATTTTAAAAAATCTTTATTTTACAAACAACAATAACAGCAAAGTAATGCACTAGCACATATGCTAGATGCTTACTGATAAGGGAATCGGGCAGTCTTGAGCCCGATCTGTACGGATATATACTATACGCGTATATAATTTATATTATACTATACACTTGGTTGCTGATTTTGCTTCACTGGTACTATCAGTTTTAAAATAATTCAGATGGAATTCCCCAGAATAAGAAACTAAGCCGATATCAAGCACAAAATAATTTTGGTAATTCCATTTCAATTGTTTTGCAACGCGCATAGTATTATGAATTTTCGAATGGCAGATATTAGTAGAAATAGACGTTTTGCGGTAATTTTCAATGGAGTTGGGGACACTTAATAAACAGTTAGACTTCTTCTCGTGCTACTCCTAGCGGAGATTGGAAATCATCATGGCCGCTGCGACTTTGTAAGCAGGGCGCCTAAAAAGTTCAATCGAACTACACCCGAACCATTCACGTAGATTACGAAGCCACGATATTTTTCATCTTCCCACACTTCTTTTGCCCTTACTTTTGCCCTGCATGATGTTTCTTAAAAGTTCGTACTTTTCACCTCTCACAATGTGTCCCAAGTATTCCATCTTTCTAGTTTTTATCTCATTTAGAATTTCGCATCTTTTGTCTAAAGTTTGGAGTATTTGCGTGTTAGTGACGCGGTCCATCCATGATATTCTGAGAATGCGCCTATAGCACCACATCTCGAAAGCTTCGATGTTTTTTATGGTCAACTGTTTTAGTGTCCAAGCCTCAACTCCATATAACAGGTTAGAAAAGACATAACACCACAGCATTCGTATTCGTAACTTTATATTGATATCACGATTGCAAAAGAGTTTGCGCATTCTATTAAAGACTGATCTAGCGATTTCTATTCTACATCTTATCCCTTTTGTTTGATCAGTATCGTCTGTGATCCAAGCAAATAGATATTTATAATAGGGCATACGCTCAATCGTTGTATTGTCTATTACAAGATTAGCTCTGATGTTCTTTGATTTCGTGATTACTATAAATTTAGTTTTTTTCTAATTAATTTTCAAGCCGTAACTGTTACAGTATATATTGAGACTTTGAACGAGATGTTGTAGTTCTACTAGCGTTCCCGTTAGGAGAACTGTATCGTCAGCATACCTTATATTGTTGATCGTCTCACCATTTACTATCAGACCAAGATCTTCTTCCTCGAGTGCTTGTTCACAGATAGCTTCACTATACAGATTAAATAAAAGTGGCGATAAGATACATCCCTGCCGGACTCCTCGATGGATTTGAATTTCTTCTGTTAGTCTGCCCTCAACCTTGACATTTGCTGTTTGATTCCAATATAGATTGCATATAATTCGAATATCTCGGCTGTCTATATATTTTTTTTTTAATAGAACTTGTCTTAGTAGTTCATGTTGTACTTTGTCAATGGCCTTTTCGAAATCAATAAAGCAGGCGTAAATTTATTGGTTCATGTCTAAGCATCTCTGTGAGAGAACGTTCATTGCAAACAGAGCCTCCCTTGTACCCAGCCCTTTTCTGAATCCCATCTGAGTATTACTGATGTCTACGTCTAATTTCCTATAGATCCTATTATGGATTATTTTTAAGAACAGTTTTAGAGCTTTGATGACTCATCAAAGCTATCGTACGATATTCGTTGCATTCCTTTGTATTTGCCTTTTTTGGTAGTAGTATAAAGGTCGAACGGAGCCATTCCCTAGGTATTATTCCATTTCTATATATTGTATTAAATAGATCTAGGAGTTTTTTAATAGATTCATCGTCCATAAGTTTGAGCAGTTCTACGGAATTTCTTCAGGACCGGGGGCCTTACCACTTTTTGCTTGTTTGATTGCATATTCTATTTCTTCTCTGATTATAACAGTTAGACAGTTAATAACAATTAATATTATATCGAGTTAGAACATATTTTAATCCAAATAAAATTAATTAAAATTTCCATAAAAATCAGATATTTAATAAAGTTCAAGATTGGCAGAAAATTAGTTTAGAAAAAAAATTAAATACTAATAACGCTAAGGAATAACACTAGCAACTTTTTCACACTATTCAACATTATCACAAACTCTAATGAATATTTCCAAATATCAGGGTGGACTGTTTTAAGTGGATGAACCTGCATAAAAAAAGTAAAAAAATGTAATTTTTTAATGTTATGGAATTTAAGTACATTTAAAATTTAATCAAATATTTTTCTGAATTGCTAAGTAGTCGAAATAAAAAATCTAACATTTAATAAATACTGACAAAATTTATATCCAGCTTCCATTCTATTTAAAAGGTTTTTGTTGGGAAATTAGAAATCCCTTTATACCCACCTTCTTTACTATGTCGACGTTCTATACTTATACAAAATTTTCTCCCATTTCGCGTACTAAAAATCTGAGCACGTATACTCCTAATATCATTTTGATATTATTACCATATCAGTGTGTTTCTTTGAATATAAATTATAAAGCAAATTTCTCCTGTTGCAATTTTAAATTAAATTTTTATGCTTAAAGTTCGAGTTATTATGAAATACGCCAGGGATATGGGTTATATAACGAAGTTATGCACAACATATAACAAAGCTTGTACAACTAATTTAAAAATATTAAATTCAGTAGAGAGTAAGCAGATATGTTTTTTGTGTTATAAACAGGATTATTTCAGTCCAGGACGACAAACATTGTTAAGCAATAGCTAACATAATAACTTGTACGCAAATAATCACATAAACAAAAAAAAATCGCTGTAAACAGTTGGTCAAATAAATAAAGACAAATAAAACTTTAACATTAATGTCGAGCTGGGTCTTCTACGAGGTGAAGCTGTAATAAAGTTTTTAAATATATAATTAAATTTAGTACAATTTAAATTAATTTGAGTATTAAGACAGTGAGAGTTTTCATTTGTTTCCCTTGTAATCTCCAAATCTTCCAATAAATCCAACTCAAGATAGTTTTTCTTTCTACTAATGTTATGTAAGATAGATGAACCAGAATTGATGTTAAAATTATGGTTGCTGGATACTAAGTGTTGACCAAAAGTTGAAGAATTTGGTCTTTTCAAATGTTCAGAGACTCTAGTGAATAACTTTCTGATGGTTTTACCTACATAAGAGGCATCACAATCATCAAATTTTAATTTGTAAATACCACTTTTATCATTGTATTCATCCTATCTTTGGTATTGATTAAGAAGGAACCTAAAGTGTTATGTGATTTAAAGGAAATTTTGATGTTATCAATTGTAGAAGTTAAAAGTTTGGATATTTTATTGGAAATGCTACTAATATAAGTAAAATAAAGATTCAACTAAACTACTTGGAATATAACACATTTATATATTTTGCTTTCAATTTTGATTTTAACTTTTAGTAATTTAACTGCATATTCAGATTTTTCCTTTTTTACAGTACTAATAGCGCTTGGTGGACCATTTTATTGTAGTCAACCATCCACTGTCTAATATATTGTTTAGTCTTTTTCTTACATTTATACTTTATGTCAACTTCAATCGCTCTCAAACTAACATCCCAATTATTATAGACAGGTTTGAGTGTGAGATTTAGATTATTCAATCTACATAAAAATATACTAATTTTATATTTCATCAGTTGATTTCCTATAGTGGTGTCAGTTGGATCTTTAGTCAATACTTAGTTTCATAGAATTTTGAAAGGTGCAGATCACATAACCACCTTTTACAAGCTGTCATTTTTCACATGTCATCTCAATATTTCCGCAAGACCGGGAGCCCATTCTGTCTCCGGCTTCTATATAACATGTAGCTTCTCCTTTTTAAAAATTTTAAAGTGTTTGTTTGTCTTTGTGTATTGTATTGTTATGTCCAAATTTACATTTATGACATTCTACTCATGTTGGATAGGCCACAACTGACGAAGTAAGTCTATAAACGTTTATCACATAAAAATTTTTTTCAACCATAAACTTGGAGTTTTTTATCCAAATGAATTAATTTTCCTTTTTATAAAAAAAAAATTCTTGGCTTATTTCAGATGCCCCTGAAGATGATCTATTGATCGAAAGTACTTGGGCAAGATTTAATTAATCACTGTGTTCGATAGTTGCCTTGTATACTATCAAAGTTTAATTATTCGAACATTCAACCTTATATTGAATTCGTTATAGGTTTAGTTGAATTGTTTTTTTCTGGATTCTTTGTCAAAATTTATAACAGTAATTTGAAATTTCTAAAATTTTATTTTAAAATTCTCAAATTTTATTTTATATTACTTAAATTTCATTTTAAATTTCTGAAATTTTTTGTCCACAAAGTCTAAATCTAGTTTTTTTTCTAATTTTTAACAGAATTTATGTGCTATTACTATATTTATCTTCTTTTTCTTACTTGTATGTAGGCTTTAAAGCCTGTTTCTTTTTTAATACTAGTCTCCTAAATTGTTTAAATCGTCGCACCATCTTTTTCTTGGTCTGCCAATACTTCTGCGTCCATTGGGTAACTTATCTCGTATTATTCATACTATTCTATCACCTGCCATTCTACTGATGTGTTTGTTCCACTCGTATTCTCGTTTTGTCACCCATCCATTTATGTCTTCTATATTGCATGCTCTTCTTATATTTTCGCTTCTCTCCCTATCCAACAGATTTTTCCCTGATATTAGTAGGAGTGTTTTCATCTCTGTTGTTTCTAGCAGTCGTCTCCTTTTATATGTGTATGATCTTATCTCCGCCATGTATGTTAATATAGATCTAATTGCTACTTTATAGATTCTAGTTTTTGTATCTTGTCTTAGGTGTTTGTTCTTCTATATTGTGCCATTAAGAGATCCCGCCGCTTTTAAATAATTTTAATTAATTAATTTCGATTTTACACCATAGTGGGTATTTAGATATTGTCATATATTTGGTTTTTCTGCTAATATTATCATATTGTATTTTTTAGCTGTTTTAAGGTAAATGAAGAGAGTAAAGTAAGGAAATTAAAAAATAGAAAATCACCAGGAGAGGAGAGAATATCGAATAAACTCCTAAAGTACTTAGGACCACATACGGCTAAATAACTACTAAAACTAATCCAAAAAATATTACAACTCAACAGAATACTACAAATATGAAAATCAAACATCCTTCTAATATCATATCTGTTAAAGAAGGGAGACAAATTGAGCCAAAGAATAAACAATACTAACATTCGTAACAAAAATAATTACAAATAAACCAAATGCAATTAGTAATAGACTAGTACTAGACACTAGCAGTAGAATAACAGGTTTTAGGTCAAAAGGATCATGCATCGAGGCTATATTTATAATCAGGTATGTGCAAGAGAAATCATTAGAATACAACAATCCAGCATAATTATGTTTTGTGGACCTTAAGAAGACATTTGATATAAATATAAAGATAAGATACGCTAGAAATAAGATAATACAAGGAAGTTTCTCAGTTCTGTGTTGTTTAATCTGATAATGAATAAAATAATATAATATTAATAATAATAATAATCAGAGTTCATACGAAGAGTAAAACAGCTACTCCGCTCACATCTTAATAGTAAAAATTTGTTTAAGGCATTAAATACCTACGCATTTTCCGCGCTTAGGAACTCATTTGGGATTATTAAGTGGACTAAAACGGATATAGAAACTCTTCAGAGAAAAGTACGAACACACCTCACAAAAGCACAAAAACAACATCCTCGAAGTGCAGTAGAAAGAACGACATTACCGCGGTATTTAGGAGGACGAGAACTTATAGATATAAGCGAGCAATTAGATAAACAGATTACTAATTTAAGAACTTATTTTCAGCTGCAGGCGGAGACATCTACTCTTCATCTCGCGATTTGCGCAGTAGATGACACAACACCAATCAAACTGAGGGAACAAGAAATGCGCATAAACCATCTTACTAAGAACGAAAAAATAAGCATCTGGATGGGTAAACCTTTGCACGGGCGACATCCGAATGAAGTCAGTCAAGACTATGTCGACAATATAGCGTCGAATTATTGGCTGACATCAGGAAAGATGTTCCCTGAAACAGAAGATTCATTACTCGCCATTCAGGATCAGGTTATACCAACCAAAAATTACCTGAAATATATCGTCAAAGACCCTCAGGTCCAAAACGACAAATGCCGATATGGATGCTAAGCCCAAGAAACTATACAACATCTTACCGGAGGCTGCCAGGCATTTGCTGCAACTGAATATAAGGAACGGCATGACTCAGTAGGAAAATCCTCCATCAAGAGATAGCTTTTAACCTGGGACTTCTACAAACAAACCATCTCCCATATTATCAATACGTTCCAGAGAGTATGCTTGAGAATGACAACTACAAGCTATACTGGGATCGTACTGTGCTCACAGACCAAACTGTAGCACATAATAGACCAGATCTCGTGATAGTTAACAAACTAACAAGACAAACAACTCTAATCGATGTGGCGATACCTAACAACAATAATCTGGTGTTAAGTATAACAAAAGATCGCCAAGTACAGAGATCTGGAAATACAAATAAGAAGACAATGGAGAATGGAAAATACCCAGACAATACCTATTATTCGTTCTACCGCTGGAGTCATTCCGAAGAACCTCCTGGAAAACATAAAAAAGCTGGGTCTAAATTTACATCTATATAAGGTAATGCAGAAAGCTGTGCTACTTTCGACGTCCAGAAGCGTGCGAAAATTTTTAGGAGATACACCGAGGTACCAAGTCACCTAGGACTCGATAACATGGAAAGAGTCCCACCAGAGCTCAATCCTTTTGATACCGTAGGTATCTGGGATGAGTGAATTTTCCCCTTAGAGGGAGTGTTAGCCGTATGACTAAATCTGGATAATAATAATAATAAAAGTAAAAGGGTAAAAGAGTAAAAGGGTACCAAATAGAAGAAAAACAACACAAAAGTAATTTGCTATGCAGAATATGCAATACTAATCCCTTAATATGAAGATGATTTCCAACGTATGCTGCGCCAATTTAATATAACCGCCAGAAAATTCAACATGTTAATTTTCCCAAAAAAGGCAAATGCACAAATCTACTAAGATGCAAATAAAAACTAAAGATTAAATACTGAGATAGTATCGGTAGATAAGTCACATAGATCGTAGATGAAGAAAAATTATCGAAATAATAATAATTACTGGCACTGTAGCTAACAAAATATCTACAGCTAGATCTCTATTTCGATGACAAAACCAAACAAAAATGACACGAGGAAGAGATAAATGGATATCAACTGTCAATGGAATGGCATAACGTTACCACATCTTAAAAGGTATTACTCTTTCGATACGATTTTCATTCAAATTATTTCTATTACGGTGACTGGTTATAAAACAAATGGTTTGTAAACGCCCTTAATAGAAACATATTATTTAGGATATTTTCGTATTTACATAATATGTAATATTTTTGGTGAGCCATATAATATTTCTTATACCATCACGTCGATGCTTATCATCTGATTGTTTTAGTACAATATAATACTGAATTTAATTATATTTTAATTGTGAAAGTATATTATTAAAAATTTACTTTTATCTATAAACAAATTAATATTGTATTAGATTAGATAGTACATCTCATAAAATATTTACACTTACCAGAATATTCTTGTTGTGCCTGGGCTAACAGAGAGGCAAAAACATGACTGTCAACGGGCCTTGTGGGAATTTCTTCTTCGCTCGAACTGTATCCCCTTTCCCTCCATTCGAGACTTCTTTGCCGTCTGATGCCCGACATGTCCTTCGAAGTCCTTCGACTCCAAGAGCCACCGGTTGATTTCATTACCTTTGTGTTGTATTCATCTGAAATGAAAAAGGGATTATAGATTCATATATAGGTATATATATATATATATATATATATATATATATATATATATATATATATACATATATATATATAATATATATATATATATATATATATATATATATATATATATACAGTGTAGGAAAAATTTTATGGTCGGTATGGACCTTACGTGAGATGGAGTGAGAAACAGCTGTTTAGAAAGAGAGAGGTATATTAGGTCCGCCCTTTATATCGCCAAACATGCACGACTGGAAATAATAAAAAAGGGGAAGTTCAACGTTGCCAAACTTATTGGATTTATTTCACCTGTTGTTTTTTTTTTGCATTTGAACAATGTTCTAAGATAATCCAATTTGGGCGAAATTGATTTAAATGGCAGCTTACTCTTTTTTTTTATTGGGAATATGCCACAAGTTTACTTTACAATAAGTGTAATATAAGATTTTGATTTCCACTTTGGAAATCGTTTTATATACCTAAATAAAATTTATTAATGTTTCGTATTTTAAGTACGATTTCCGAATTAAAAATCTAAACATCAAAATAAGCTTATTTTAAAGTCACATTGTGCCTTATTCCCAATATGAAATAATAAACTGCATACAATAACACCACATTAAAAAATATTCACACACAATAATTTATTTGGCAACGTCGTCCGTCTGGTCAGAATACCGAGTAACGGTAGTAGAGGTGGGTCGTGGTAATTTTATCGTTAAGAGCGTAAGAGCGATTAATATTTTTTAAATGCATTCATTTTTTTCGAATCCTGATAAAACTAATAAATATTCTTGAAAAATTTAAACGCAGAATGAACCAATACATTATTACCGAGGGCCAAAAGTCCCTGAAAACTTCTATAATGTTTATTTTAATAAGTTATAAGGGCGAAAAAAAAAATTAGTGTGATTTTTAATTTCAAATATCTCATTCAAAAAACTTTTTGTTTATTCTAAGGGACTTTCGGCCCTCGGTAATAATGTAATCTTTTATTCTGCATTTAAATTTTTCAAAAATATTTGTTAGTTTTTCTCAGGATTCCAAAAAAAATGAATGAATTTAAAAATTTAAATTTTTGTAAACAACTAACTATGATTGTTTAAAAGTAGTTTCAAGTAAGAGAGTACCTACATAAACAAACATAATGGCTATTATCGTTTATGTGTATATTTATTGAAGTGAAAGAAACTAATGATATATTTATTATAACTTGAAAAATAAACTAAACAATACAAATAGTAAATCGTACTTACATTTACATTACACGTTATTATTAAATCGCGAATAGTCTAAATTGACATTAAAAAACATAAGTTTTTCTACTATACCTACTTCTTATTAACCGTCTTCTTTTTTTATTCCAAATTAAACCAGATTTTGAACATGTGTTCACATTTACAATACTGTATGAATATAGGGGTTAAGTTAGGATATACATGGCGATGGTTTTTCCACCGTTGTAATGGACTCTCGATACAGGTGTACGTGTAGATGAGCCATCTCCAATTAATTGATCAAATATACACCATGGATTTAAGTCATCTTTATTGGTTTCTTTTTATTGTACTGGTTGATTTTCAATAGTACAATCTTCTTGTTCGTTAATTATAGAAGTAACCAGCTTCTTAACTTTTTCTTTTATTTTTTTATCTTCATTTTTATCAGAAAAACCCTGCACTTTAAATGGTGAATCCATAAATGTACATAATGACAATATGCCACTCTGTTCTATCCCTTTAAATATTTTTGCTAAACCCGATATTAGTAATTGTACTACGTCGGATACTATGGATGTAAGGTTACCGTTTGCTAAAATTTTCTTGCAAGATTGTTATGGTATGCAGGCCGCGTACCATAACAATCACTGAACTACCCTTCAAGTATTTTTGGTCACTCATTGTACTTGTTATTTCTTTAAACGGCCGTAAAATTTGGGAAAGCTGAGAACAAATAATCCAGTGTTTTTTATTTAGATTTGGTCTAAGTCTAAGTCTGTATTATTTAATACCGATGTGGAACGGAAATACACGCCAGTACACCGAAAATATCAAAATACAGAGAGGAGTCCGCCAGGGTTGCGTGCTGTCCCCACTACTTTTCAATGTCTACAGTGATCGGTATTTTAAGAAGCGCTCTCTGACTCAATAGAAGGTATATCTATCAATGGAGAAGTTTTGAATAACTTACGTTTTGCAGACGATACAGTAATAATTACGGATAACAACAATGATTTACAGAACCTAATGCAACGCCTTAATGAACGCTGTCATGAGTACGGACTGAAGATAAATTTAAAGAAAACTAAATGCATGATCATGACTAAATCTGCACAAATATCCAATTGACTATTGAAGATACTGCAATTAAGAGTGTTAATAACTATAAATACTTAGGAACATGGATAACATCAGATGTAGACCAAATCAAAGAAATTAAGACACGTATTGAAATAGCACGTACATCATTTATTAAACTTAAAAAGTTTCTTTGTTGTCGGGATATAAGGTTAGAACTACGCCTGAGAATGCTTCGATGTTACGTGTTCTCTACTCTTCTTTATGGTCTGAAAGCTTGGACACTAAAACAAGTTCATCTGAATAAGTTGGCCGCCTTTGAATTTTGGTGTTACAGAAGAATCCTACGAATATCATGGATTCAAAAAATGTCAAACATTGAAGTAACTAGAAGGATAGGAAATGAGGCAGAAATAATATTAACTATTAAAAGACGAAAACTTGAGTACTTGGGACATGTGATGAGAGGGCAAAAATACGCATTATTACAACTTATTATGCAGGGCAAAATCCGAGAAAAGCGAAATGTGGGAAGACGAAGAATATCCTGGCTTAAGAACTTAAGGGAATGGTTTGAATGAAGTAGTGCAGACCTTTTTAGAGCGGCAGTCAACAGAGTCGGCATAGCCATGATGATTTCCAACCTTCGATAGAAGATGGAACTTAAAGAAGAAGAAGTGAAACGGATTGCCTCTTCTAACTCAGTCATTCTTTTTAACCTGTAATAGGTGAAGTTCTACCTAGTTTCCACGTCTTGGATTGGCCGTTTGGGAACTTTGTTATGTTGTAATTAAGCCTTTCTGAAGATAAGGTACTTTTTTTAATGTTTTTTGCAGAATTGTCGAAAAAAGGACTTTTTTTTATCTATTATCAAATCAGTTTTGACATAACATTCCTGAAGTAATGAATCTAACAGTTTTTCTTGTTGGCGGTTTATATCCAGGAATCCACCCTGCAAACTTTTTAAAATCTGGTTCTTCACCTATAGAAAACGGATGAAACGAGTCTTTGCATAAGTTTAGTAAATCAATAAGTTTAGTCAAGAAAAAGAAACTGATAAAGATGACTTAAGTCCATTGTGTATTTTTGATGAATTAATTGGACATGACTCATCTAAACATACAACTGTATCGAGAGATATACAAGAAGTCGACATGTATTTGTCTAATAATATATTACCCACAATAAATTTCGAACGGAGATTGGAACTGTCCATTACCGTGGTGGAAAAACCATCGCCATGTATATCCTAACTTAGCCACTATATTCATAAAATATTGTAGAATTGTAACAAAATCTTTTCCTTGTGAACACATGTTTAAAATCTGGTTTAATTTTAAATAAAAGAAGAACACAGTTAACAAGAAAAGTAGAAAAACTTGTTTTTAAATGTCAATTTAGACGGTTCGCGATTTAATAATAACGTGTAATGTAAATGTAAGTACGATTTAATGTAAATGTAAGTACTATTTGTATTGTTTAATTTATTTTTCAAGTTATAATAAATATATCCTTCGTTAGGTTCTTTCACTTCAATACTTATACACATAAACGATAATAGCCAATATGTTTGTGTACTCGCTAATTTGAATCAACTAGTTACAGTTTACGAAAAACGGTTCCGATAAAAATTTAAAAAACGGGAGGACCCACCTCTAGTTTTTTTAGGTATATTAGGATCGGAACCAGAGAATATGTAAAATATCTCTGATCGGAACTATTCGTCTCACTAATGGCCAATAGGTGTTAAAAATATTTGAGGAGGGGAGACCAAGGGGAAATATGATTGTTATCTTTGTCTATTCGCTGAAAATATGATTTTATATCTGCGTTAGATATCCTGTTAAATTTTACCATACCGACCATAAAATTTTTCCTACACTGTATATGTATATATATATATATATATATATATATATATATATATATAAAAGAATATATTCTAAATTTTTGTTTCATTCATTTTTATTACTATACACATTTTCCGAATACACGATTATAATCGTTCTTTTAATGATGTTCATAGTTGAAGATATACAGATTGAACGAAATAAATTCGGAACATACGAAATATTATGAACAAAAGGATGTCAAATAATTATATTAAAAAAATCCAATACTTCAGCGGGCTGCTGGATTCTGAAATCATAAAAATTGAAAGCTACACATAAATGTACGATTTTATTATGATGTCAAACCAGTTATCGCTTTTTTAGACAAGCCCTTCTTGAGCGGTGTTGTTAACATCATTCCTTTAGATGTTTCTCAAATAAGGTGTTATCCATAAAATATTTGCAAGAAAAAAATAAATAACTACAAACCATTAAGTTTATTTTTGTTATTAGTCTGTTGTAGTAGATTGGTAAATACAATGTAAAATATAGGCAAATATCCGATTTATTTAAAGATACGAAGAAGATATAACTCTCAAAAAGATCCGCAAATCGGATTATTACACGGCGATTGGCAACATTGTTACGCAAACAACATTGTTACGAGACAGATAGTTGAACGATATTTTATACAATGTCTAAACTCAGGTATGGATTTATTTTTGTCCAAGTTTTATATTGGTCCACTATTTCAAATGCAGTTCAAACAGACATATATTAAATTGTATCATCCGTTTTAAATTCGTTCAATCTGTATACAATTTCTATTAGTTTTAGTACAGTAAATATAAACTGTACTAAATACAAATATATACAAAGCCTTTATAAGCAAATATTGTAAGATCACGTAGATTAGCCTTAATAGGTCATGTACTAAAAATTATTGATGACAGTGTATTGAAAACAATGGCACAATCTAGAGGAAGATGCCCCTAGATCTTCCTAGATAGATGTGAGCTCACAATGCACGGGAGGTGTTAGATTTTTTAAATATTACGTTTATAGATAGAGTTATTAGTACAAAAGGTACCATAAAAATGCCACCTCACTCTCCTGATATTGCACCTTTGGAATTTTCGTATGGGGTTACGTAAAGCAACAAATTTACCGACATGAGCATGAACGTGCTGCAAATTTAGACGAATTACGTCAAAAAATCATTCAGGCCTTTTAAAGCATAACAGCCGAAATGTTGTCAAATGCAATTATATATGTTGTGTTAAATATATTAAGGTGGCACGATATTTGCCATTTTTTACGATTCTCGCGAGATCAATAAAATTGATGACTTTCATTGACCAGCTGTACTAAACTTTTCATTTTTAGAGAATAATCTTTAAAACCTATGACATGAAATTTTAATTTAAGTTGTGGTAACAAAAATGAGGCATTTGAAATATAAAAAAACTATTAAATTTTGTAATGACATTGTTGAAATATTTCCTCAGACCATCTAAAAAAATAAACTTTCTTTTGGCAACAATATACAGACAAGACTGCGGGTGATTGGGGGTCTATCACAGACATGTGGTTACACAACTAACAATTATTTATTTGTTAGAAGAAACCCAACAATTTCACACCTACAGCTTCAAAGGCAAATTTTGGAAGCTACCGGTGTGTTTCAGTTAAAACAATAAGAAAAAGACTTTGTACCGAAGGATTATACAGCAGTAGATAGCTACGGATTCCCGAGTTATCCAGACAGCTTAATATTGATCGCTTAAATTGGTGTCTTTAACACCAAAACTGGAACATTAAAAATTGGCAAAATATGCTATTTGCAGTCGAAACTAGGATTTGTGAAAAATCAGATGATCGACGAATTCGTGTACATAGAGAGCGAAGAAGACCAGCAAAAACGAAAATTACCAGATTTGCTTACAGATATAAAGGAGAAAGTGTCATGTTCTGCGGAGGCATTATGATCAGTAAAAAAACTTCTTTAATTTTATTCAACCAACTTCGATGTAAATATTTTGATTTGGTTCTAGAAACTGTAGTTAGGCTCTGGAGAGGTGTAATGGGAGGAAATTTACCTGCATATAGAAACAGAGTGATTATAGACTTCCTTGAAGCAGAACATATTACTGTTATGGAGTGACCTACTTTCTCACCTGACCTTAACCCTATTGAGCAATTCTGGAATATGCTTAAAAGAAGCATTAGAGCTCACCGGGAAAATCCACTTAACACTGCACAGCTAGTACAAGCTATTTTCAAAAATGGAACAACCTGCCACAACAAAATATTGACAATTTGTTTTGGAGCATGCCCATGCAAATTGAAGCTTGCACAAATAAATTAGAACAATTTAAACATTAATCGATTCACATAGCTTATGTTGTTAACCTCAAAACAAGTGATTTCAGTTTATTGTTTCAAGAGTTTACCTTTTTCTTTTTAATTTTTATGTATTGATCAATAAATTGCTTTAAAATAAATATTATTTGACTTCGTATGTGATTTGACTTTGTATGGAAATGATTCCATATAACTTTGGTTGTGTGTATTCTCTAAGACATACTATAATTCTCTCAAGTCTATAATATATATTTTTCTTAGTTTTTTGCGTTTTCTTAATGCCCTATTGTCAGAATGATTTTTTTCCATACTTGTATAAGGATATGTAGTTTTGACTAAAGAAAATATTCACAAAAAAAAATCAGATTAACCGACTAATCGACGATTAGTCGAAGGAATCTTCTTCTTTTTATGGTACCTACGCGTTATGGATGTTGGACACCAACATGGCTATTTTGACTTTATTGACCACTGCCTTAAAAATCCGGTATTGATCAAGTTAAATTATTTACATAGGATATAAAGCCAGCATATTCTTCTTCTACCTCGGCTGTTTTTCTATTCACCATACTTTGAAAGTTCAAAGACTAGTTTGCGCCCTTTACTCATTCTGTGTAGAAAGTCTCCTCCTTGGTAACTGTGTTTGTCCAGAGTATCCTCAAAATATGTCTATAGCATCACATTCCAAATGCTTTGAGTTCCGTAAGTGATGCTTCAGTTAAGGTCCATGGCTTTAGTTCATATAGACGAGCGACATCGTATTTTAGTAACCAAACTTTATATCTTGTACCCAAATAGCAAAAGTTGATGATATGTGATATATGTTGTTGATTAACTAATAATTATTCCAGTCTTATGTTATATTATATAATTAATTACTATTTAACTGAAAATAAACCACAATTAAAGATAAAAATACGTTTATTGACGTTTCAATTTTAACTTCGGAAATCGTTCTCAAAATACAAACAGTAAATTAAACAAATTTTGTGTTTTTGTTACATAGTGAAAAATTCTTCTAATAATTTAATTTTATCTGACTCAATTTATATTGACAATTCAGACATACATTATGCATTTTAAAGTAGACGAATTTTAAAGTTTAAAATGATATTGCCAATATTGTTGAGTTGCGCTCCTGGGACGACTTTACTTATAAGATAGTTCATTCGATTACATAAAATCAACTTTAACTTGAGAATATCCGTCAGAAAGAAATCATAGCATGTAATTGGTCTTTAAAAAGACAAACACATGATATGATGACAGTAAAATTCTCCTGTTAGTGATTCCTTAGTAAATTGTGAGGGAAAAACCAGGAAAAAAAACCTCATAATACTATCCCGACATGGTAAGTATTTGTTCGTGCATTTTGTTTACCTTCAATAAACACCAAATTCTGATTTTATATGTTAGTTACTTAAAAAAACATAAATGATGTATTCTCTATATTTTACTGACTTACCAATACTGGTATTTTTTTTTAATAACTTTCTCTTTCAATATTGGTAACCAGATCCTACTACATTCTGCCAAGGAATTTGCGACACAATTGGCCTCATTTAGCATAATTAGAGCCGCTTCTTTGATTTTTCTTTTTTTACCATCCGTTTCTTTTAGGACTACATTTGAATTATTCCATTGTACCCTATTTTCATTATCCCATGCGTGTTTACACACGTCTTTTTAAAGACGAATTGATGATTTCTTTCTGACGGATATTCTCAAGTTAAAGTTGATTTTATGTAATCGAATGAATTATCTTATAAGTAAAGTCGTCCCAGGAGCGCAACTCAACAATATTGGCAATATCATTTTAAAGTCGTCTACTTTAAAATGCATAATGTATGTCTGAATTGTCAATATAAATGAGTCAGATAAAATTAAATTATTAGAAGAATTTTTCACTATGTAACAAAAAACAAAATTTGTTTAATTTACTGTTTGTATTTTGAGAACGATTTCCGAAGTGGAAATTGAAACGTCAATAAACGTATTTTTATCTTTAATTATGGCTTATTCCCAGTTAAATAGTAATTAATTTAAAATGCCACAAGAAAATAGCTTCACAACAACATTATATAATTAAGCCCAACCTGCTATGTACTTTTGTTACCCTGGAGACAAGCATTTGCAGACACTTTTCAGACCATTTTTCAGACTATTTAAATAATTTTCCTCTTATTTTATGTAAATTTAAATTTATCATGTGTATCAGTTTATTTTACAAGATGTATATGATTTTCATATAGAAATGTATTGATATAAAAATATATCTATCTTTTATTGTGTAATCACCCTTTCCTTAAACTTAATACCCGCCATTGTCCCCGGTAGGTCTGAATGAGCAAACGAGCAAAAGGTGTGTGTACGACTTGGAACTTGTCATTCCGGAAATTTGCTACTTCCTTTATCACAACAGAGTTTGGAGTTTCTTCCAATTATTGCTTTCCTGTATGAAGGAAATCTTGATGCTTTATCATCGTTTTCATAAATGGGGAGGTGGCTTGACTGGAAAATTAAATATGCAGTGAATGGTTTCGAACAGCTACCGTTTTGGAAATAAAACAATTATAAGCAAAATTCAAATTATCAGCTAATATTATCATTTTTTAAAAATACACTTATGGATAAAATTATCGAATATCTTTATTTATAAATCTGTTTAGAGCCTGTTGTTAAAAAAATCAATTTTAATAATTAATCTGACTATTTATGGGCATTTTACTACTATAGTTATGATTAAATTTACAAACTTTATCATATAAACATTATCAAATATCATGTAAATAATGTCATGATATTATAAAATTCTGTAAAGAATATCTGTTAAATGTTGAAATAAAAAAAACTAACGATATCTGGATGAAATTTAACGGAAACTGGTTGGAAAAATACGGATATTATACCTGAAATGGAAGAGTTTAAATGTATTAACTTGGAGAACAATATTCCCTTCATATTGTCCTGCAAATCGAAGTTTGATAGAAGAATATGCATCCTTTAAATAATGAAATTGCTTCCGGTCTTGAGCACCTTGAATCCAGTTATTCTGGATGCCCTTGATGTCGTCTTACCTTTTTGTTAAAAGACGTCCTCGATTACGATAAGTATCCATTCTATAATTTTTTTCGTCAATCTTCCATCTCTTACTCTGGCAACATGTTGGCCCAGTTCAATTTCAGTATTGAAATTGTTTTAACTTCTTTTTTTCTAAAATCAGTTTTTCTAATAACTATTTGACATTGTTCTTTCTCTCCATTGATCTTTGTATTGTTTCTTGTAATCTTTGTATTGCTTCACTTGTATTTTATTTTTTACTTTTCTGATAATGGTCAGTGATTTTGCTTTCTGCACTAGAACCGGAATCATATAGTTTCCTTTTCATGCACACGGGAACATCTTATTTTAAGACTTTAATCAGTTTTCTTCCTACTTTAATCTAGTGGCCCAGATAATTATAAGTCTAAATTTGTTCAATTTAATTTCCATATGTTAAAATATTTTTGGTCAGTACAAGGTTGGTCACGTATTTACAAACGAACTAGCTGATAAAAATGCTCGAGAAATAGCAAATTCCCCAAATATCAGACCGATAAGAAAACCATTAGCAGAAGATCTCAATCCATACTTTAAACAAAAGCTGATATGTAATTGGACTAAATGTTGGGAAGAAAAATCCTCAAAGTTAAAAGAAATTAAACCAAATATTGGACGATGGACTAACAACGCCCCTAGCCGTTTCCTTCAGGTTGTATTAATCAGGCTCCGATTAGGACACAGCAAACTCACACATGAATATCTCATGAA